ATACTCGGGTCGTCCTCTGGGTGTATAGCCCACTTGTCGTGGTGATATTTTTTTGATAACGTTGTCTGGGATTCGGTTAGCTAAGATTTTGTTGAAAATTTTTGCATCTATATCTCATTGGAGGGATATTGGTCTGTAGTTTCTATTTATTTGTTGATCACTTTCATGTGTGGTTTAGGGTTAATCAGGTAATATTCGCCAGATAAAAGGTTCGGTGTTTGTTCTGCTCGTGAGTAATGGGTTGTGGAATAGTTTTGCAAGAAATATGTTACTAGTTCTTCTTTGTAAGTGTGTCAAAATATATTTACGGGGTAAGCCATTGCGGTGGACCAGGATCTTCTTCGTTTTTTAGGGTGTATTCTTTATTATTGCTGTCTCATTTCAGTCTGTTGTATTCCTTGGTCTTTCAAGAGGAATCTATTTTCTTTCCTGGTGAATGCCGGTAGGGACGGCTGTAGTGTTTCTAGAAATTTGTACCTCATTCCTGTCCTCATCATGTGTTCAGTGTTTTGCCCCGGGACATAAAAATATGTTATGGTGAGACGCTCAGGCTGGTTTTGAACTCCTGACCTTGAGCAATCCGCCCGCCTCGGCCTCCCAGAGTGCTAGGATTACAGGCGTGAGCCACCGCGCCCGGCCTATTCTGTTTTAATATAGAGAGAAATACTCAAAAGTCACTGGAGATTGAACTTGGCCTGGTTGTATTCTGTTTTAATATAGAGAGAAATACCCCAAAGTCGCCTTGACCGCATGCGTAGGAAGGAAAATCACCTTTGAAACACTGAAGGCAGGGGTGGGGGCATGCAGTAGGCTCTGGGGGCCCTGGAGCCAGTCAGGGCGGCACCCCACAGGAAGGAGGACGGGTAGCCCATTGCCATGGAAATGTTAATCAGACCTGTTGAGTCTAAAAGAGATTGGTCTGGGCACTAGTCCGCGGTGGTCAGCTGGGCCCATCCCCACCCACCTCTGGGGCTGGCCTGTGGCCTGGAAGCAGGCCGCGGTGAGTGGGCACTGTGCCAGGACCATGGCAGGGCTGCGATGACGATGACAGCACAGTCTGGCTCCGGGCCTGCCCTGCTAGCTGCTCCCTGCTCACTCAGCACGCGTCGCCATGGTGACTGCTGTACTTTAGGAGCCAGGTGCTGACTGCGCCAGCCAGGCCGGGCCGCAGCGCCTGTCGTCTGTGGGTGGGCTGGGTGGGCCGGCTGTGCCTGCTGTCCCTGGCCACCAAGGCTGCAGAAGTGAGGTGCTGTGCTTCCAGGGACCTGTCCCTGTCCTCTAGAACAGCCAGTGCCGATCCCCGTCCCACTCGTGTTCCCTGTTGTTTAACTCCCTGATATACACACCCACCTCCTCTCAAAACAGCTATAGGTCAATCGTTTACTTTTTAAATTAGATCAAAACCCATTTCACTGCAGGCCTGGCCATGACCAGAGTCCGCCAGGCGTCAGGCAGCTGGGACTGTTCCTTCGAATCTAGGAGAGTCAATTCTGACTTCATGGCTATTGTTGCCACCGCAATTTGTGTGGGTTTTGTAATTGAATTCCCCTGTGACCTTTCGTTCAATTCTCACAACACTCCTATTAATTAGGCGTTGTCTCTCAGAGAGGGAGGTGGCTCACCTGCCGCTCACCTGAGGCACACGCTGACTCAGGTCTGTGCTCTGTCCGCCTCGCCTCTTTATCCACGGGGCAGAGGGAGCAAAGTGCTGGGCTGGGCATCAGAGCACCGGGCCACGGCCTGGCCTTGCAGCCGCGACCAAGGACACCTCGCCACGCCTCTCTGGACTCAGGACCCTCTTCTGCGATCGAAGAGACTGGATCAGACAGTCTCCAAGATTTCTTCTAACTGTGTGGCCTTAGTTAAAGCTTATTTGCTGATAACAGAAACCCGCTCTGCTTATGCAGAAGTGGGCAGCACCGTCCAAGAATCCAGGGATCTCACAGAGCTAAGGCAGGAGCTAACACCAGACCCGAAGGGCCTGGTGCCTGGGAAGTGGCTCTTGAAGCCCCTTCTCTGGGCCGCGTGAGTCTCTGTTTTCCTCAGCTCCTCCGTCCAGTCTTCTCTCTCTGCTACTGGTCTTCTGTTCCTACAGACCCGCTCTGTGCCTTTGGCCAGTGGTGTCAGACACCAACGCAGCTCCTGATTCCAAGTTATCAGTGCTGGGGGTCAGCTGAGTTCTCACCAAACTCCAATTCCAGGTCCCCGGGGGGAACTGTCCGGGCGAGGTGGTTGGATGTGCAGCTGGGGCTCGTCCACTGGGTCCTGGCCATGTCCAGGAAGGCAGGGACATGCAGCACAAAGAAGGAGGAGCCTGCGTGGGGTACAGGCCCTCCAAGGACTCTGCGCACATGACAGGAATAGCATTCTTGGGAGGAGAGACAAGGGTGAGCACCATTTTGTTCCAGATGAGGTGACATTGAGCTCTACAGCAGAAGCGCCAACCTACCAGCAAAGCTGGCCCGTGAGCAGGAATGCGGCTTCAGCTCCTTCCCCAAGGACATACACGACGGCCATTTGACAGCCAGGCAAGCCTGTCCCCTCAACATGAGCATGCGAAGCTGCCCCTGCTGCCCGTGAGTTGAGTGACATGAGACTGTGGCACTCGGGAGCTTGGAAAAGGTCAAAGGACGGGGACAGCAGAGACCACTAGCACCAGTCCTCAGGGCTCGCTTAGAGCTGCAGCTTCCTTGGCACAAGGAAGACAGTGCCTCTGGTGGTCCTAGAAGCTCTCTTTCCCCGTGACCTTGCTTTAGTCCTAAAGCTGACGTCATCCCACAAGCCGACCTGAGCACAAACATAGTTGCATATGTGTATTTCCAGACATGAGTGAGGAAGGCTGGACTATAGCTACCTTCCACCATGCCTGGTAGAGACGGCGTCTTGCTTTTCCTCAGGCTGGTCTCGAACTCATGATCTCAAGAGTCCTCCTGCCTCGGCCTCCCAGAGTGCTAGGATTACAGGCGTGAGCCACCATGCCCCGCCAAAACCTTAGCAACTTAAAAACAACAAGCATTATTTCACAGTTTCTGCAGGCCAGGAATTTGGGAGAAGCTTCTGGCTCAGGGTCTTCTCAGTAGGTGGCAGTCAGGATGGCAGCCAGGGCTGCTGTCATCAGAAGGCTCAACAAGGGCCGGAGATCCACTTCCCAGATGGTTTGCTCAAATGGCTGTTGCCAGAAGGCTGTGGTTCCTTGCCATGTGGCCGTCTTAATAGGACTGCCCGAGTGTCCTTACAACATGGCACGTGGCACCTGGCTTCATCCAGAATGAATGTGCACAAGAGAGCAAGATGGGAGCCAGCCTGTCTTTTACGACTTAGTCTCAGAAGTAACACACGTCATTTGGGCCATGTTCTATTCATTAGAACCAAGTCACTCTGTCTAGCCCACATTCCCAGGGAGAGGAATTAGTTTCCTCTTGAAGGAAAGAGTATCAACGGAGTAACAATTTGTGGGCCTATTTTAAAACCACCACTGAACAGAACTGAATAGTGCGGGCTTCTCAAGTATTTGGAGGTTTGCTAGTCAAGGGACAGGGTGTGGGAGTCCCCTGTGGTAGGCAGAATTATGTCCTCCAAAGCTGTCCATGTTCTAAATCCCTGAACCTGTGAATATGTTATGTTGCATGAAGAGGGAATTAAGGTTGCTAATTGGCTAACCTTAAAGAGATTATTCTTTTTATTATCCAGGCGGGCTCAGTGTAATCACAAGGGTCTTTTAGAAGGGAAACAAGAGTCAGAAGAGTCAGTTTCAGAGTGATGAGGCCTGAGACAGACTGAGGTAGGCATGCTGGCTTTGGAGATTAGAGGGGCTGAGCCAAGAAGCAGGCAGCTTCTTGAATCTGGAAAAGGCAAGATTTTCCCCCAGCCCCTAGAGAAGGAATGTAGCGGTGCTGACCTTGATTTTAGCCTAATAAGATCCATTTTGGACCCATTTCTTGTTGTGTTATGCCATTATATTTGTGATAATCTGTTACAGCAGCAATAGGGAGCTAACACAGGACTATACCCAACCTCCCCCTTGTCCCATTCCTGATGCATTTCTGCTTTCATCACATTTATGATTATTGTACTTTATTTCCACATGGTCCATATGTGTATCATGCACGAGTGCCATCTCTCCTTTAAAACTGTAAGCTCCTTGGGAACACGGCCTGTGTTGTGTTTGGGGTTCTGTTTTAAAAACATTTATCTGAAGCACCAGACACATTGCTCATTACGATGCAGCCATTAAGAACCTCACCAGTTATTTATTAGCCTGTCTGAAAGTGGAAGCAGCCACCTTAGTAGAGAGATGAAACAAGAAAGAGCTGGTGTGAAATAAAATATGGAATCCCATTAAGTCCCCCTCCCTCACGCTGAAGCCAAAGAATTACCCCCATGGTGTGATAGTTTATTGAAATACTGTTTTCTCTGCAACTTTCTTTACTCTCATTTCAAGCTAGTGGTCAAGCTTCGTCTTCCCTCAGTTTGGGAATCTGGGGCAGGCGCAGAGTGGGTCGGTGCGAGCTCGAGAGCCACTGGCCCATCCGGCCTCTGCAAGGCCGGGCCTCTGGGGGCAAGCGTCCCCGCTGAGGTGGAGGAGGGAGAGGAGCCCTGGAGAAGGCGGCGAGGCGCGTGGAGCCCCGGAGCCCAAGGAGGGCCTGAGCTCCCACAGCAGCGCCCAGCTCAGGGGCGGCGCAGGCCAGGCTGGCGGGCCCTGCGCCGCCCAGGCCGCGCCCGCCCGCAGGGGCATTCCTGACACCACGCGCTGACCTGGGACCTTTGAAGATTCCAGAGGGAATGGAAGGGGTGGGGGAGGTCCCGGGGCGGCTAGGACAGACTTTCCCACTAACCCATCGGGAAGCAGGAAGAGGGGTTCGGTCTGAAATATGCTGATTTAGAAAGAAAAGTGACACAGCACACACTCAAGTTTGGGACTAGAATCCAAAGCAGTGGCATCCCTTTTGGCGTTAAATGATGATTTTTAATCTCCGGTGGAGGCCGGGGCAGGGCGGCATGCACGAGGGCGCAGGCCTTGCGGGCGGCCCGAGCGGGGGCGGCGGGCCAGGCGCCAGGTGGCGCTAGGTGGGGAGCACGTGCTCCATGTCGCCGGGGCGGAGGCACAGGTAAATCAGAAGGCCGCTCCAGAAGCCAAGGGTGAAAAGGGTGCCCAGACCTGGGGTGAAAGTTTCCTGCTGCAGGGAGAGGAGGGCGGCAGCTGAGGAAGGGCGGCCAGCGCTGGGCCGCGCCCTCCCCACCTGGAGCCTCCGGGCGCAGCCTCGGGGCGGGCGACCCGCGTCCTGCCCGGAGCCGCGTCCTCTGCGGCTGTGAGGGTGGCTGTGGGGGCGGCTGTGGGGGCGGCAGCGCGGGGGCGGCTCGGTGGGGCGGCAGCGCGGGGAAGGGCAGCGCGAGGGAGAGCTGAAGAATAGAAGGCAGAGGACAGAGCGAGGGAGAGAGGACAGAGATGCGGGGGCCGCTTGGAGGCAGCAGCCGCGGGGGGCTGTGTGGGGCGGCAGGCGCGGGGGCGGCTGTGGGGCGGCAGGCGGGGGGCGGACTGTGGGGGGCGGCAGCGCGGGGGCGGCTGTGAGGGCGGCAGCGCGGGGGCGGCTGTGGGGGCGGCAGCGCGGGGGCGGCTGTGAGGGCGGCAGCGCGGGGACGGCTGTGAGGGCGGCAGCGCGGGGGCGGCTGTGAGGGCGGCAGCGCGGGGGCGGCCTTGTGGGGGGCGGCAGGCGCGGGCGGCTGTGGCGGCCACGCGGGGGCGGCTGTGAGGGCGGCAGGCGGGAGCGGCAAAGCGCGGGGCGCGGCTGTGAAGGCGGCAGCGCGGGGGCGGCGTTGTGGGGGCGGACAGCGCGGGGCGGCTTGATGGGGGCGGCACGCGGCGGGGGCGGCTGTGGGGGCGGCAGCGCGGGCGGCTCTAGATGTGAGGCGGCAGCGCGGGGGCGGACTGTGAGGGCAGGGCGGGGCGGCAGCGCGGGGGCGGCTGTGTGAGCCGGCGCAGGCGGGGCAGCTGTGAGGGCGGCAGCGAGCGGGGGCGGCTGTGAAGGGCGGCACGCGGGGGCAGCTTGTGAGGCGCGCACAGCGCGGGGGGCGCTGTGACGGGCAGCAGCGGGGGCGGCAGCGCCGGGGGCCAGTGTGACGGGCGGCAGCGCGGGGTCAGCTGCTGAAGCGCAGGCGGGCGGCCGGCTGTGAAAAAGGGGCGGACAGCGCCGGGGGCGGCTGGTGAGGGCGGCCACGCGGGGGCGGGCTGTAGGGCGGCAGCGCGGGGCGGCTGGTGGGGCGGGCGGCGGCAGCCGCGGGGGCTTGTGAGGCGGCAAGCGGCGGGGACGGCTGTGAGGCGCAGCGCGGGCCGGCGTTGTGAGGAGCGGCAGCTGCGGGGGCGGCTGTGAGGCGCGGCAGCGCGGGGCGCAGCGCGGGGGCAGGCTGTGACGGCGGCAGCGCGGGGGGCACGCGGGGCGGCTTGTGAGGGCGGCAAGCGCGGAGGCGGCAGCGCGGGGGCGGCTGTGAGGGCGGCAGCGCGGGGGCGGCAGCGCGGGGGCGGCCCCAGGCCTGCCAGGCAGGGCGGGCTGGTGCGGGCGGCTGGAGCACGCCCCCTTTGGGGTAGCGAGGTGCCTACTGAGGTGAGCCGCATCGCGGGGGCACCCACCCCTGGTTGCAGTTGTTCTTCAGGGCACACAACAGGCATTTCTCCTGCGGAGGACAGAAGGGGCACAAGAAAGATTGCGTTTGCCTGGCCCGAGGGCGCCAGCCTGCCGGGCGCCTGCCCGTCCTGGCCGCGGGGCAGCGCCGCGGGGCGCGCCCGAGGGCACGCGCAGGGCCGGGCGGGGGGCGGGCGGGCAGGCCCTCACAGCCCGGCCCGGGAGCCAGGCAGCGCGGGCGGGCAGGGACACACTCACGCAGCAGGTCCCGAGCTGCTGGCGCGCATCCGGGGGGTCTGTGTGTGGCTTCTGTGGCGCCGACATCTTCCTGTGAAGAGCGAAGGGCGCCCCGCCGGCCGCGTCCATTCTCCTGGGCCTGAGCTGTGGGTCTGTGTCAGGCTTTCCCATCAGCCCAAGCTCCTGCTGCTCCTTCGCTCCTCTTCTAAGGGGACTGGGTGGGGTCGGGGAGGAGAGTTGGGGAGACAACTCGCAATGTGGCAAGGACATAGCCAGTGCAGGGCAGGCGGTGGCGCCCTGACTCTGAGCCACTGGGCCACAGGGGCCAAGACGACTCGGGGCCGGGCCGGCAGCAGAGCGGCCGGGGCACTGCTGCAGGGTGGGGAGAGCCAGGTGCAGGCCACACTTACAGCTTGCTGTTCTTCTGTATGTTTACTAAAACATCCATTTTCTCATCCATATCTTTCTGCATTTCCTTCAAGAGAAAATTCAAAGCTAGAATCTCTACTTTGAAGGGCTGTGAACTCCCTTTCTCCCACGTCTTTTGGCAAACACTCCGCATGGCACTTCCTGAAGGACCTTCACTAGGCTCTGGTGAGGGGCAGATGGGGTGTCCACAGCCTGTGCCTCCTCTCCGTCTCCCCTCCACTCTCCATGACAAGACTAAAGCACAGGCAAGAGTCATTAGGGGACTTTTCTAAAGTCTCCAGGTGAGTCTGAGGCCACGAACAGCTTTACCTGGTCTCACACTTTGGATGAAAGCAATATTTGCCTTTGAACTTGTCTAAACTTGTTTGATGCTTATAAAATGATGGAATCAAGAAAACAAATTGTGTGACCCCAAAGACACTTTGACTTTAATATTTTGAGCCCTGCCATGCACCCAGATCCTGTCCACTTATGTTTGCTTCATCTTTTACCTAATTCCTGGCAGTGGTCAACACAAAATTCAACTAATAGCAGCTAAAGTGACACATCACATCTGTGTTCTACTAAGAACAGAAAGAATAATAAAATACTCTTGGCAAACTTTAATCTATAAAATTTGACCTGAGAAAACTAGATAGAAATAGTGGACATGACAGAAATTGCATGATGGCAGAAGCTCTAATTGACAGTATTTGTTAGGTTTGATTGATCATCATAAAATATAAATGAAAATAATTTACTCCAATGAAAATAATTTTAATGTAAAATGAAATATTTGTTAACAGTTTAACTGATCTACTGAAAATTGATCAAAGAATTATGCTGTCTGGGTAGAAATTATTTCAGAAAACACCTCCTTAAAAAGTATTTTTCAATGTTAGTACAAAATTTGAATAACACTTATAAATAGAATCAAAATATCCTTGAAGTCCATGCCCCGTAGGTCCAAAACATCAGAGTCCAAATATCCCTATTTTACAAGTCTCACCAACACTTCAAACGCACCATGTTCCAAACTGATCTCGTTTCCCTTCCCAGATTAATTCTACCCCCAGTATCCTCATCAATGCCGCCACTTTCTTCTAGTCGTCCAGAGTGAAACCCTGGTGTGGGCACAGACTCCAGCCTCTGGGGACGCCCGCCCCGCCTCTGGAGACGACGCCCCGCCTCTGGAGACGACGCCCCGCCTCTGGAGACGACGCCCCGCCTCTGGAGACGCCCGCCCCGCCTCTGGAGACGACGCCCCGCCTCTGGAGACGCCCGTTCCGCCTCTGGAGACGACGCCCCGCCTCTGGAGACGACGCCCCGCCCCTGGAGACGAAGCCCCGCCTCTGGAGATGAAGCCCCGCCTCTGGAGACACCTGCCCCGCCTCTGGAGATGACGCCCCGCCCCTGGAGACGAAGCCCCGCCTCTGGAGACGACGCCCTGCCCCTGGAGACGAAGCCCCGCCTCTGGAGATGACGCCCCGCCTCTGGAGATGACGCCCCGCCTCTGGAGATGAAGCCCCGCCTCTGGAGACGCCCGCTCCGCCTCTGGAGACGCCCGCCCCGCCCCTGGAGACAACGCCCCGCCCCTGGAGACGACGCCCCGCCCCTGGAGATGCCCGTCCCGCCCCTGGAGACGACGCCCCGCCTCTGGAGACGCCCGTCCCGCCCCTGGAGACGACGCCCCGCCTCTGGAGACGCCGTTGTCCGTACTGAATCAGTCGCCAAGAACTTATTCTTCCTTCCACGCGTCTTGGAGATCCGCTCTTTCCCTTTCCTGCCCTGGGCCTGCCGTCCCGCGTTGTCGCCGCCTGACGGCCTTGCCGTGTCCCAGGCCGCTCGCTCGCACGCACCGCCAGGCTAGGTTTCGGGAGCGCCTGCCAGCATGCTCCTTGACTGAGAATCCGCCGAGGCCTCTCCCGCCTGTAGCACCAGTTCCCAGCTTGTCCGCACGACTTCCGGAAGCCTCCACTGCCCTTGCGCCCGTTCGGTTTTCTTCTGCAGTGTCCCCGTGTGGTCGCACTTCATGGCCGACCTCCCCACGGCCGACACACACTCCTTCCTCCTGCTTCCTGTTGTGCTCAAGCTGTTCTGCCTGAAACAGCCTCCTCTGTGCCTTGCCATTCCCAGGCCTCCCACCAACAAAACACTGTGTGCATATTTAATAACAAAGTATCTATGCAGGCTTCTGTAGAAAACATTGGCACAGAGTACATAAGGGTATAAACTCATAGAAATGAGCAAAACGCTCGCGGCGCTGTGGCCTCACGCACTGGTAAACCTAAGCTCTGGAGGCCGAGGTGGGCGGATTGCTCAAGCAGGCCACGTCAAGCAGCCTGCACATAAACATATGAGCGAGACCCCTTCCCATAATGAATAAATAGAAAGAAATTAATTGGCCAACTGATATATTATATATAAAAATTAGCCGGCATGTGTGCGACATGCCTGTAGTCCCAGCTACCGGGAGCTGAGGCAGAAGGATCGCTTGAGCCAGGAGTGAGGTCTCGTGAGCTAGGCTGACGCCACGGCACTCACTCTAGCCTGGCAACAAAGCGAGACTCTGTCTCAAAAAAAAAAAAAAAAAAAAAAGAAATTTATCAAGCAGAAATAACTCTTATTAGTCCCTTTGGTATGTTTTTTTTCAGTCTTTTTCTATACATTTACTAACCTTTTTTTTTTACCTAGGTAAGATCATCCTGTATATATTACTTCTATCTTCCTTTATTAGTTCTCATTATAAACACTCTAAATATTGTCTTTGATAATTCCTAATTTTCATTCTATGGACATACCATGATTTTTTTGGCTATTTCCCTACTGTTGAAAATTGTAGTTATTTCCAAATTTTTGTTACTGTAAATAATCCTGTAATGAACATCTTTTTATATATATCCTCATGTGGCATTTCTGATTATTCTCATAGGTTAAATTCTGATAAGTAGGCCGGGCGCTGTGGCTCACGCCTGTAATCCTAGCTCTTGGGAGCCGAGCGGCGGATTGCTCAAGGTCAGGAGTTCAAACCAGCCTGAGCAAGAGCGAGACCCCATCTCTACTATAAATAGAAAGAAACTAATTGGCCATCTGATATACTATATAAAAATTAGCCGGCATGGTGGCTCATGCCTGTAGTCCCAGCTACTCGGGAGGCTGAGGCAGAAGGATTGCTTGAGCCCAGGAGTTTGAGGTTGCTGTGAGCTAGGCTGACGCCACGGCACTCACTCGCCCTGTGCAAACAAGCGAGACTCTGTCTCAAAAAAAAAAAAAAAAAATTCTGATAAGTGAAATTGTTAAATTAAGAGGCTGATTTTTTTATACTTATTGTCTAATAATGCCACAGTTTTGTTCAAATTTGCACTCTGATCAGCAGTATAAGAACATTCTTGTTTGTTCTATGATTGTCATAAGTTAAAATTTTACTTATTTGAATGCAAAAATGATCTATGTTTATTTGCAAGCATTTGCTTATTCATGGGGTAAAACCTTTTTAATATGTTTATTGATTTTAGTTACATTCTCTTCTGTGGATTGACTTCATGCTCTCCCATTTTTCTACTTGGTTCTTATCGATTTCTGTGAGTTTATATGTTACGGATAAAAACCTTTTGTCGATGCTTATCATATTTTTGACAAATTGTTTTCCACAAAGTTGTTTTTAAATTCTGTATATGATGCTTTTCTGTCATAATTCTTTCTCTTTTTTTTTGAGACAGAGTCTCACTCTGTTGCCCAGGTTAGAGTGCTGTGGTATCAGCCTAGCTCACAGCAACCTCAAACTCCTGGGCTCAAGCAATCCTCCTGCCTCAGCCTCCCAAGTAGCTGGGACTACAGGCATGCGCCACCATGCCCGGCTAATTCTTTCTGTATATTTTTAGTTGTCCAGATAATTTCATTCTATTTTTAGTAGAGACAGGGTCTCGCTCTTGCTCAGGCTGGTCTCAAACTCCTGACCTTGAGCGATCCTCCCACCTCGGCCTCTCAGAGTGCTAGGTAGGATTACAGGTGTGAACCACTGTGCCCGGACTGCCATAATTCTTTTTAAAAATTTTATATAGTTAAATATATCAGTATTTCCTTTGTAATTTCTTCCATTGTATTTATATTTAGAACATCTAGTTAAATATTTACTTAAAATTTCCTCTTACTGGTTTTATTATTTAAACTCACTTCATAGACTATTTCAGTTTACAGTGTTAACTGGATTGGTTTTCTTCATATGGTCCAGCAGTGTTCTTAATATTATTACATAATCCTGTCCTTCTCACTGACATTACAAAATCACATTTGTCATATTTTAAATGTTACAGAGTTGTGGTTCTCAACATTGTGTATCCATTGGAGTCACCGGGTAAACTCTGAAAACCACTGGTGCCTGGACCTCATCCCAGGAGGTTCTGATTTTATTGTTACTGGGCACATCCTGGGAGGGGGAGGATCAAAGCCCCCGAGGTAATTCTAATGTATAATCAAGGTCAATAACTGAAGGGTTCTAGGACTTGGTTCTCACCCGGGCCAACCATCAGAATCACTTACGGAGTTTTAAGCAACTCTGCCCTACTCTGGAGATTTTTATTCAGTTTTCCTGGGACAGGGTCTAGGTAAATGAATTTTTAAAATCCTCTCAAATAATTCTCAGTAATTCCTGGCAGAAAGGCTGTTACAGGCTTCTCTATTCCATTTCATTCATTTCTGGTTAACCTCGGGCTGTATCATCCTAATTTGATAATTGTGTTTTGATCATGAATTTTAATATTTGATAAGGTTAGTGCCCCCTTACAACTCTTGGAAAATGTGTGGATATTTGCTTTTACCTGTTTTTGCTTCTACATCAATAGCTCTCAAATTTTCAGCTGGGAAACTTGTCTAAAATGCAAGGGCCCAAGACTGTCTGAACATGAGTCTGGGCTGTTTTCTTTATTAGTGTCCCAGGTGATTCCAAAACACACCAAAGTTTGTGAACCACTGTTCTAGAATCTAGATTATCCTCCTGGTGATTTTTTTAGTTAAAAAAGAATCTTATTGGGCTTTTGATTAGATTTGCATTAAGCTTCCAATACAGCCTTCAAGGCTCAACTTAAGTCTCACCTTCTCTGTAAGGACTTCTCTGGTTACTCCAGCCCACATTGATTCCTCACATCCTTAAACCCCTAATTAACTAACAGCCTATTATTTGGCTTGCAGTTCTTTGATGCAGTGGAGTTGGGTTCTACCACCAGATTACAAGCACCTGGAGGGGAGGGGCTAGCATCTCCTCCACAGTGTCCAATATGGTACTGGCTCATGGAAGGTGCTAAGTAATGCTTACCTTCATAATTTCCACGAATTCATGAAGTTTATCAAAATCCTTGTCCATTATATCCTTTATCTAATGAAAAAGAAAGGCACAGCTTGACAAAGCACAGAACGCATTATTAAAGTCAGTTATGGTGTCTTGGGGCATTTAAGCAAAAGCAGCTGCTTTCTGACATGACTAATAATGGTGCATTGGAGCCACTTTCTTCCCAAGGGGTCTATGAAGGGACCAGAGTGCATGTGCCGTCATGTCACCACCCCACCAGCCTTTGCCGGGCTCAGAGCTGGCTACTGCAAGGTTTGCGTGTGGAGCGCAGACTACAGCTCCAATTCTCCTTCTCGCTCGATCAACCCCTTTTCCTGAGTATGCTGCAGGTGGCTGTGGCATAGAAACAAGAGTTCTTGCTTTGCAGCTCACGCAGGGAGAGTGAATAGGGAGGACACAATTGGTCCCTGACAGCCCCAGATTCCAAGTCAGGCCCTCTCATTCAGCTTTATCACTACAGTTACATTACCGCAACCTCACGAGTGAGATACCTCAGGGAGTCCTGAGTCCCTCAAAATTTGGTTTTAGGCATCAAACAAGTAAGAAATGAATATCCTAAGCTGCCCAACACTTAGCACTCTAGGCATTAGGACATTACGACTGAGTTGGTTTGATTGCTTTTCCATGCAATGCTTGATTTCCTTCACTGTTCAAGATTATGAACTACATTTTTCTTGAAACTACACTTTTCCCCCCATGTTATGCAAAGCCTCATCTTGTTACCTGTTTTATCTCCTCCATTTTTTCCTGGAGCTCTTCCCTCACCTCCCTGATTTCATTCTGCAGAAATAAAATGGGGAAGAGGAGGAGTAAAGAAATATCTTGGGTGGAAGAAGGGACACTGTGGACAGGAGGAAAGGAAAGGTCCTTAGGCATCTCAGAGGGGAGCAGAGAGACACTCAGTCAGGGGAGGAAAGCTGCCGGGAAGATGCCCTGAAAGGCCAGCTGCCTTCCTTCCTTGACAGCCTAAAGCGAATCACAAGCCAGTGTCAGATAAACCCAAATTAAGATCATTCTACAAAATAAACGACCTGTAATCCTCAAAAATGTCAATATCCCAAAAGACAAAAAGACAGAATTGCTCCAGATTAAAGGAGAGTATAGAGACTGTGCAATTAGAGGCCATGTGTGATCTTGGCTTCCTTCCCCTACCAGAGAAGGTTTTTAATTTTGTTATGAAGCACATTAGTGGCACAATTGATGAAATTAGAATTATTTCAGGCCACAGATTGGCACCGTAATCTATGTTAGTTTCCTGATTTTGATAATTACACTGCAGATATGTGATAGAATGCTCCTGTTTCTAGGATATACACACTGAAGATCTGGGAAAACTAACTCAGAAACGCTTGAGAATATAGGTAAGCCGCCGGGGCCCACACACGCACCTTTAGCTCCTGCGTCACTCCAATTTTGGTAAACAGCCCTTGTTTTTTAACTCCTTTGTAGTCGTATGTCTGTTGATGAAAACAGAAGCAGAGACTATTGGAAATTGTAGATGTGGGTGACTGCAGAGGCAGGAGAGCTCGCCCTGAGTGCCTATTCCTCCTTAGGGCCAGCACAGAGGAAAGTGGTGGCCCCACCTGTGCGGATGTTTTTTCCATCCTTCTCTTTCCTCTTGGGGCTCCTTTCCTACTCCCCTCCAGGCCACTGAGCCTCAGCCCTTTCTTTCCCTTACCAACCGCATACCACCTTGGGCCTCCGTGTGTGCTCCCTCCTCGGCCTAGAAAGCTCCTTGCTCTGCATGGCTGGTGTCTTGTCCTGCAGCCCTCGGCTCACGGGAAGGCCTTTCCCGGCCACCCACAGCTGCCACCCTGCCACATTGCCCCTCTTAATTCCCTGCAGAGCAGGTCACACCGCTGAATTGTTCCTTTGTGCATCTGTCACTAGTGTGAGCTTCTATGGCAGCAAAGAGCTGCTCTTTCAGTGTAGCCCCAGCACCTGGGACAGGTCTTGGCCACCAGAAACAGCGAATGAACCCTGACTCCAGGTCGCTTCTCCACGGATTTCAGGCCTGGCTGCTGGCATGGCCTCAAAAAAGCTTCTTAATTTGGTCGGCTCTGGCTTCAATTCCAGGCAAACTGCCTTGTAGTTCTTGCTCTGCAGAAAGAGGAAGATGGGGGAGGATGTCATCTGGCCCTTGCAAGAGGGCCGCTCCCCACCCCGCCCACCGAGCTTGTTCTCAGGCTCACAGACCACCCAGCAACCCGTACTGACTCCCAACAGCTCAAATCTTGTCATGTCATCCTCTTTTTAAGAACACACGTGGCCGTCCAGCAGGCCGCCCTCCCACTGCGGAGGGGCTGCATGGAGAAGGCCCTGGAAGATGGCCGGGCGGGGCGGGACCGGGCGAGGAGCGTGGGCCTGGGCGGGCGGACTCCCGCCCTAGCCTCAGCCAGCCTCTTCGCTAGCCCTGTCGAGTCGGGCAATGACTCTGTCTCTCTGAGCCCCTCGTCCTCGTCTGCAGACGGGGCGGGGACAGCTGTATCGGTCTGGCAAGGCCGTGAGCCTCAGACCCGCTGGTCAGACGCAGGCCTGGGGCAGGCCGTGGCGGCGAGGAACCTGAGGGGCGGGGAGGGACGCAGTGCTCCTTGCCCCAGAGGGAGTCGGCAGCGGCCTCTTCCTTCCCACGGCCAGGGACTAATCCCACACCGTCCCAGCCCCAGGCCGGGAGGCCGCTGTGCGCTCAGAACCAGAAAGAAAAGCCAAGATCCGGTGGAGCATCTCCGACCCCCTCAGCAGCAGCCGGAGGCCCAGCGAGGTTTCTCCGTTACCAGGTTTGTTTTCTTCAGTTCTGCCCTCTTGGCCGACATGATGGAGGAGGCCAGAGTGTTCTTCAACCTCCCAGTCTCCCCACAACAGCCCCGGGCCAGGCCACTGTCCTATGCAACTTACAGGCCAAGGCAAGGGCAAGGTGACCACCTCTTTGTGTGTGGAACAGCTGAGGTCACAATGCCCAGCACCGGGACCTGAGTGTCGCCGCAGCTCCAGGCCTGGGCTGCCTCGGCCTGAGACGAGGGCTCAGGCCAGGTTCCAGCGCCAGGCGTCTCCTCGCGGCAGGGAGAGGGCTGTCCTGGAGGGGCCACACGGTGGGGTGGCCCGGCACGCCCACACACCCAGTGGCCCTCCGTCAGGGCCAGCCTATGGACTGAGAGGACTGGCACGGCCAGCAAGCTCCTCTGAGCCCACTCTCGCTCCCTGGGCTGTGCACCGCCGGGAACGCACCTTCCCTCGGGCCTGAGGCCACCGCTGTTGGGATGCCCCGAGCCTCTCTGGTGCCACGTGCATGTGCCGCCCTAACCCAGGTTCTCTGTCCCGTGTGGGGCGGCTGCCGGCCTTGGCAGGATGGTTTCTGATGCTCTGGCCTCCCGCTGTCCTGCCCCCCCCACTCTTCGCTCATCCTGGACGAGGGTGACAGTGCTAAAGTGAGACGCCTTTGTGGAGGAAAAAGGAATGCTAAAGGAAGGTCACTCTGAAGGCAGCTGTGATTCATGGCTAAAGTGAAGAGTCAAAGAAATGTAGCACCCTGTGGGACCAAAAAACACTGGAAATCCAGGGTGGTGAGGCTGATTTCTCTTTTATTCCTGGGCATTCCGTTTCCTTCTTCCCTCTCATTTCAATTACTAGTCGCCACAGAAAATCCAGCTTGGACGTTCTGAGGACGCACAGCATGGCAGTGCAGGGCCTGACCACACTGCGAGGACCACGCTGCCCTCCTGCTGCGCGCCTGCTTGGGCCCGCCCTTCCCAGGGCCAGAGCACAGCACTTCCTCTGAGCTGCCTGCAGCATTTCCGCCATGTTTCCTAGGAGGCAATTCCCAGCCCACAAGCTGGTGACAGCCGTGGATCTTACCATCACAACCAGAGGGGAATGTGTCTGTCACCCTGTGAGCTTCCCAGGCCTCTGAGTCTCCACTTGTCCGTGAGGGGCTGGGACTTTAGGGCTCCTTCCGCCACTCAGCTTAGTCCTCCCAGATCTGCTGGTCACATGGTGGGAAGGTCCTTTCTCTACGGGTTCCCAAAGACACTGACAGGGCTGAAGGAACCACAGTGAAAATGACCGACTTCATCTCAACACTTGCTAGCCCCGTGAGACGGGCACCAGCTCCCGCCTCTTGCTGCAGCCTGAGTGCCTCGTGGGCCTGTGGCAAACCTGCCTTTGTGTAGCTGGACAGCTGCTAGATGAGCCGCCTCCTGGCCACGCACAGCACATAAGCCCAGGCCCGAGTGTTAGGGAAGTGGGTCTAAAAGAAATCAATGTGAAACTGCTTTATAAAGTAAAAAAAATATACATCTATATAATATTATCATTTGGACAGAAATTTAACATCAGACCCGCAGCTCTTGACTCTGAGCGCTAACTACTCATGCCTCAGACACTGCACTTCATTGCTGTCCGTACACACTGGAAGGGCCGGGCAGTCCATTTGGTGGACCTGAATGTTGAGTCTCATGTCCTTTCCTCTCCTCTGAGAACACTTTGCAGCTGCACGAGCAGCAGGCCGCATCAGCATTGTCGTGTTAGATGCTGCCGCGGTACGACCTTGTTCTGTGTAAGCTGTAGGACACTCTGGCCCAAAGAATGCCAGGGACACTTTTCCTAATCCCTCTTCACAGCAAAGTCCATCTGTACCAGGGCAAAGAGCATAAAGCCCGCTGACGTCCCCTCAGAGTTTGAGGGGAAAGGAATATTTACCACAGACAGAAGACACCATGTCTCTTTTCTTGAAGTTGATGTCATTTAGGTCCTGGTTTGTTCAGTCTCATGACGACAGTGTTGTGGGGGCGAGGTTTGGGGGAGGTTAAAAAATGGCCTCAGGCCTTTGAGTTTGGCCTTTGTGATTCCCAGTGGGGACAGTGAAGGCCAGGCCCCGCCGCTGCCCGAGAGAGTCCCAGAAAGCACCAAGAGAATGTGGCGTGTGCGGCACTCGGTGTGAGCCACTGGGGCCAGAGTTCTGCAGCCCTTTGATGGGGATGGAATGTTTCACGACGGTGCCAGAATCTCCACCACCGCGGTCCCAAACTTGGACATGGTCCAACATCTGTGACCCAGATGATTTGCTCGTAGGACACCCTGGCAGCTCACATCCGACGTCCTGCAGTGTCTGGGTGGCCGCCGTCAGCCAGAGAGGCTGCCTGGTTCCAGCCCCAGAGGAACCTCTTACATGCATCATTGAGAGATTTCATATGACTGGTAACTTGTCCTGCCTGACTGACTTATAGACACGTTAGAAAGCTGTACTCTGTGCAGATACCCTTCATCATTGACACACTGATTGCTCTGCAATTTCTGTTATTTCTATAATAGTATATCAGGCTTTGGCTGGAATCAAAATCCTATTATACTGTTTCTTTGGAAAATCTGTATCTAGGTTATGTTAATATCATATGAACTTTTGATACCTCTCTTTCAGGAACAAAACATAAGAAAAAGAGGAAACCTACACCAGACTAGGATTGAGTGTCTAGCAAATGTGAACTGGTAGAGTTGGGTCAAGGTTAGGTTTAGGGTTAGGGACTCATCTCTTTCTCACCTCAGTGGCTAATAGACTAGGGCATTGAGACAGAACACTAGTGATCCGTTTGCCCAGGGCTTTTCAGTATAATGGTGCCAGGGTATCCCAGCCCCATCCTGCAGAAGCCTTGCAAACCCCGCCCCCCCCGCAGGCTCCGCCCCTCCCGCAGGCGGCCTATGGGGTCTGCTCAGAAGCTGCTTCTGTGCTCTAGGTGCTCTGGGGAGCCCTGGGCCTGACCAAGTGCCCCAACGCTGCCGGCCCCTTCCTGGGGCTTGGGCCCTGCTACTGTCCTCCTGGCTGAGAACCCAGAACCTGCTTCAGGTTAGCCTTTGTGTCTAGCCCCATGAAGCCACCTGAACTTGGCCCTGGCCTGAAGATACCTACTGTTGTGCCTGCCCACCAGACAGGCACAGCTCAGATCAAAGCAAAGCTCTCCAAAACCTGGAGACACTGGCTGCCTGCCGGCCTCCTGTGGGTTCAGCTGGCCACTGACTTTTTCACACCTGATTTACCTCTTGAACATTCTGCCCCTGAGGTCATTAGCACTCAGAGCTGAGTCCATGTGAAGACTTGCCCAGAAGGTGTGAATCTTCTTTTCTTGGTAGGGGTTCCAGGGCTGGGCTGCGGACAGAGCATCTCTTACCTGGAGCTGTGGGTGGCCATAAAAGCAAGGGTGCTCACAGATCCAAGTGTCATGTGGCAGGCGGAGGTCCAGGGGCTAGAGAAGCAGCAGGCAGCTTCTGAGAGCCACTGTGGAGAGAGCGAGGGGATAAGGGAGGGGACAGATCCCAGGATGGGGGTGGCCAGCCAGGGAGGCTCTCGGGTGACTGAGTCATCCATGGAGGAAATCTGAGTACATTCAAAGACTAAGAATTAGGCAGTTTCCAAAGGGTTTGCTGTTCCTTCTTGTTATATCACTGTGCTCTGTCCAGGGCTGTGGATTTTTTTTCCTGTTGGCAAAGAGCCCTGGCATTGCCTTCATACGTGGGCTGGTTTTCGGGAACTTGAATTCAATGGATTCCACGTTCCTCTCACATTTAATGCCAAAATATTTGGCTGCTCTGATTTAGTTTAGGTTTAACAAAGCTAAAAAACATATATCCAGATCCACTTTGATATGCTTAATATAACATTGTTTTTGTAGTCAAATGCTCTCCCACTGAGCTGCACCCCTAGAGTTGGGCTCTGTTCAGCTCTGAATCCCACCATGAAGAAACCCTCTTCGCTGCTGTGAGGGAGCAGGGTGCCGCTCCGGTGGTGGCCGAGGGCTCCAGCAGGTCTCTGATGTGCTTCCAGGCGTTGCTGGAGCTCAGAGGGCACTCTCCAGCCCTCCCAGCCATCAAAGCAGCCTCCCGTGGTTCCTTTGCGACTAAGACGGTCGCTGATGGTGCTGCTGCGTGCACCCGGAACTGCAGGTCTTGGGAACCCCACCTGTGCAGCAGGGACTCCCAGCGATGAGCCGTGACGACACTTCCCATGGAAACGTTGACATCTCACAGATTCTTAGGGTTGGTAATTGAGACGAGTGGCCGTGAGAAAAAGAGGGTCTGATGCCTTTAGTTTTTCACAAGTGCTTTCACTTGGCTTGTTTTCTGTCACCACACAGGTACTCTTTACTGCATCAAGACACCTAGGATGGTCTTCCCCCCGCCAACGGCGGCGCACGTCGCCTCCCTCCGCAGGCTCACGCGCTTTCCCTGCACTGCCCGCTGAGCTCGTGAGCCCTCCTCCTTAAGCTCCCTGCTGCTCCCACCAGGTGGCCTTGCGGTCTTCCTGGGCCATGTGACAGACCAACACTTGGAGAAGAGCGTTGGGCCCTGGGCTCCGGCTTGGAGCTGAGGAAGAACGCCAGTGACATGGCCCTGCGGGTGGCGCCACTCCTGTGACAACTGCCCTCTTGGGACAGACAGCTTGGGTTGAACGTTTGCCTGGTCCCCTGAACACAAATGTTAACATATTTTTGTTGAGTTATTGATTCAACACAGGGATCCCCTGCCTGTGCCCCACCCCTCTAAAGCCACGATGATTACAGACCCACCCAGAGACCGTGGACCCGGCCACCTGCGTCTCGGCTGCAGGCTCACTGGCAGGCTGGGCTCTGGGTCACGCTGGTTCTTGGCGAGGAGCTCTGGTTCAACGTGCAGCCAACCCGACATCCATTCCCGTCTCTCACACCTGTTCACTGAGCATTTATTATGTGTCATGCACTCTGCGAGCCACCAGGGGCACAAGATAAGACATGGTCCTGGCCCATAGGCACTCACCCTCAGTGGGTGGCCATGTCAGCAAGCCATGGCCAGCACAGCGCTAGCAGTAGGCCCAGGGAGCCGAGGGAGCCTGGAGGAGGGCATAGCCTGGCTCCTGGGGCTGGATCTCTGCCGTGTTCCATGGGGTCTCATTCCTGGCCTTGTGAGCTTCCCAGTACCCTAGTTCCTCTAGACCCAGGGGCTTCTCTGAATCCAACATAGGAGCCAGGTGGGGCCATGGCACACACCCAGTGCTAGGCTTTCCCAGGCTCTGAGGATGGCACGCGCTGCCCAGCCCCGGGTGGGCGCAGACCCTGCACACTGGGCCTGGGTACACAGTGCACCTGGGACGGCACACGGCTCTTCCCTCCTGCAGAGAGTGCCAGCCCACCCCAGCCGGTGTGCTGCACGCCAGGTCACCCCTGTCTGATCCGCTTGGCCCGACTGCACCTTCACCTGGCCTTGTCACTGTGTGCAGTGGTTTGGACGGGACTTAAATCTGCACATCCTCTAACACCTTTGAACGAGCAGATGATCTCTGAGCTGTGTGTGAGTCAAGCTGGTAGTCACCACTTTGGAGTCTGGGCAGGCAACCTATCCCTGTTCTCAGAGGCCCCTCGGGCTCCCGCCTCGGGACACAGGGCTGTTCATAAACACAGCAAGCCTCGGGTTTTGTACGGGTCTCCCTCAGAGCTCGGTGACCAGAGAACTGGAAAACGGAAGCCCCAAAAGTCTGCACGAAGGACGCCTGGCGGCGCTGGCCTGGTGTCAAGGACGCTCTCTTGCCGGCCACTCAGCACCTTACCTGGCCTTCGTCCTGCAGCTCCTCTGGGGCCTCCTACTTGGCCTTCACTGACCCATCCCCTCATCTTCTGGGTACAGCCCATGTCCTTCCTCAGTCTAGGCCCACACGCCTGACCCCAGGGAGGCTGACCCCAGAGTGGCCGACCCCAGGGTGGCCAACCTTGGTGCCTGCAGGTGCTTCTCTCCCAACCTTCCCAGTAGGATGGTGGTCCCAGTAGGAGGTGGTCCCAGTAGGAAGGTGGTCCCAGCAGGAGGTGGTCCCAGCAGGAGGTGGTCCCAGTAGGAGGTGGTCCCAGTAGGAAGGTGGTCCCAGTAGGTCCCAGTAGCGAAGGTGGCTTCCAGGTAGGAGGTGGTCCCAGTAGGAGCGGGTCGCCTGGTAGATGGTCAGGAGGGGTCCCAGTAGGAGGGGCTCCCAGTAGGATGGGTGTCCCAGTAGCGAGGTGTCCCAGTAGAAAGTGTCCCGAGTAGGAGGTGGTCCAGTAGGAACGGTGGTCCAGTAAGGTGTTTTTTTTTGTTTTTTTTTTTTTTTTTTTTTTTTGTTTTTTTTTGTCCCATATAGTGTTAATTTTTTTTTTTTTGTGTGCCTTCATGTATGTTGATGGTTTTTCTCTTAGTAGGAATGGTTTTTTTGTTTTGGTTCCTTGTAGTGAGTTTTTTTTTGTTTGTTTTTTTCCAGTAGTAGGTCGCGTCCGGGGTTAGGAGGTCGGTCCCACGTAGGAAGTGGGTCAGTAGGAGGTGGTCCCACTAGGAGGTGGTCCCAGTAGGAGGAGGTCCCAGTAGGAGGTGGTCCCAGTAGGAAGGTGGTCCCAGTAGGAGGGTCCCAGTAGGGAAGGTGGCGTCCAGTAGGAGGTGGTCCCACTAGGAGGTGGTCCCAGTAGGAGGAGGTTCCAGTAGGAAGGTGGTCCCAGTAGGAGGTGGTCCCAGTAGGAAGGTGGTCCCAGTAGGAGGAGGTCCCAGCAGGAGGCCCCAGCAGGAGGCCCCGGTCCTCAGGCCCCTGCCCAGACCCTGACTCTGGCTGTTCGGACCCCAGCTCCTCCCTTTCTCCCTTTGTCCCTCTTGGAGGCCCACCTCCCACCCACCACCGAGGCTGGCAAGGCAAGGTCACCCAGAGACGTTTCTCTCTCTGGGCTGAGCTTTCTGAATCGGCCCATTCTGAGGGCCACCACCCATGCTCCCTCATGGTGCTCTCGGCCGGCACCCCGCTGACATGAGGGTGTGTCCACACCCAGATTCCCTCGGGGAGCCCTGTGATGGCCCCCTCGGAGCTCACTCCCTCTAGAGCGCAAGGCCCCTCCTGGAGAGCCCCCACCCCGCCTCTCCACATGCCCACTGCTCCTCAGCCTGGGTCCCCTTGGCCCAGGCCACAGCTTGGTTAATGCCACCCGGGTGTGCAGGTAGAGGCTGGGCTGGTGGCACTGTTCCCTCGTGGAGGGTGGGCGGCTCAGGCACAAAGGGATGCTGGGCTGTACCATGGCTAAGGAGGGACCTTTGGTCACCCAGAAGAGGGCCTCAGGGCCTTCACTCCCTGGTGCAGTGCTTTCCTGGTTGTTGAGAAATATGATTGAGAAATTAATGAAATGTGGCTCATAAGACCATTATTTTATTGTATAACCCGATATTACTATATTAAAGACAGAAACAGGAGTTTGCAGGGTTTTGCCCCGAAGGAATGTGTGGACTCAATGGTTCACTTATTAGAGGCTGCTATCATGGGAGAGCTCTCAAATCTCCAGTACGGATGTTTTCCAGGAAGGCTTCCCCGTATCTCAAAATCTGTGAGCTTCCCTGTGTTTTGAAAGACAAAGCAAGGCAGATATGGCCCACAGGATGAGTGCACTTTGCCCAGAGATGCGCTCCGGTGGTTATAAACAACCTGTTTATTAGAGATGGGTTTCCTGCTCTCTCCTGTCTACCTTTAAGTCCACAATAACTAATCAAAGAAATATAGAGTCACTATACCTCTTTTGTTATACCTTTGTTAATTGACAACTATCTCTTAGTACTTAGAAGTTAGCCTCAGAAAGACTTTGTACCTGTTTGTTCACCTAGATAGATTAGAAGCCCCTTAAGAGGACTTTTAACCCTAACCTACTACCTGTATCCCTTAGCAACTGCATTCCCTGTTATGCAAATATGTTACCCTGACAACTGGTAATTGATGTCTGTTATCATAAAAACCTGTATGAATCTAATCATATTGCTGGCATTTATGGGGATACGCCAGTCTCCTGAGTACCCTACTGTGTTATATCTGATCTTTTCATATATATAACTATACCTTAGTCTCTGTGTATTCTTTTATTTCTCTCTGTTGCCTATCGATTTCCTTATCCTCTGTGGCGACTCCTATCTTAGGGACTTGGCTCCGGGAGAGAAGCAGCGGATCTCCTCTCGGGCCTGCCTCACTACTCTCCCCCACACTGGTGCACTGCGGTCTTCTTCCTTTGGGGTTTCTCGCGTCAGCAGTTCAGCTGCTGGATCTGGGGAAGCACCGTGACATATAACACTAGCTAGTGGCTCAGGCAAGCACCCTGTGTTTATTTTGTCACACAGCTACCCTAAGAGGGAGGCACTGCTGTCGTTCCCATTTTATAGGCGGGGAAACTGTTTAACTCAGAGGCTGATAACTTTTCCGACGTCACATAGCAGTGGAGGGAGCTGTGGCTACACGGCCCGCCCCTGCGCGCCCCGCCTCGGCCTCCCTGCCCAAGGGGCAGAGGGGTGGGCTGTCTTCACCACTGCAGCCCCTGACACCATTTCCCACGTGACATTCATAAAATTGAGATTAAGAAAGAGGAATATAAATAAATAGAGATGAGCCCTGCTTTTATGCAAGATGCGGATGCAGGAATTCCATCCCTCTTCCTGCTGGCCCCGGAGGCCCGAGGTAAGGCCTCCAATGCAACCTTGGGAAACACAGGTCTACTGGCTGGACCCCGGGCTGTCATATCTCACAGCCCCGGCTCCAAGTCCCAGGGCCTTGGGCAGATTTCTTGCCCTCTCTGAACTTGTTTCCTTATCTGCAAAATGGGACAGTTATAAAGCACCTACTTCATAGGGCTTTTGAATGTTCTTCTTGAATTAAAGAAGGCGAGCATGTAACGTGTGCAGCGTGTGCTCCTTGTGGGCTGCAGCTGCCCACAGGCCCCCAGTCGCAGGGACAACATCCCAGTCCTCATGCCGGGCCAGCATCTCTGGTGCAGGAAGCGGCCCTTCACAGCGACCCACCGATTTCTCTTCTCATTTGTAGCTGCACCCAGCCCCAGGGCTCAGGACCACGCTCAGGAATGCGCTGGGTGGGCTGGGAGGTAGGGGAGATTTAACGGATATAAGCACACTCAGGGCACCTCTCGAGACAGCACAGGGACAGGACTCAGGCCTCACTCTGACCAGGCAGGCAGTGTGGGTGGCGCAGCAGAGCCCGGCCAGCTGTGAAAAGCAGAAATGGAAGGGCCTGGCTGCAGCACAGAGCCCGGGCCATGTGAGGAGGGGACCAGCCCATGTGTCTGTGAGCAACATCTGTCAGGGCCACCAAAGCAAGATACTGGCACCAGCTCAGGAGGGGCCTGGCTGCCGAAGAACAAGATCTATCTGGATCCAGCTGCCTCAAGCCAGAGTAGACCCCCACTGTGACCTTACCCAGCCTTTTTCCTCATCATCTCATTTTAATGCTAAATATCACGCCCAGGGGTGGGAATTAACATGCTAATGAGACACGCAAGGCCCAAAGACTTGTAATAGAGCTCCCCAGGGGCCAGAAAACCTCCTGCCTTCACCGCCCTCCCCCTCACAGGCCCTTTTCCTGAAGGAAAAGGCCTAAAGCTCTTTTCCCTGAAGTCCCCTTGGGGGACTCGGCCGGGGCTTTTCCCTTGGTGCTGCCTGCCTGCTCAAGCTAAGCTCCAACAAAGCCCGGCCTGAGACCCCCTTTTGTTGACGCCCGTCACACCCACGGTGCCCTTGCAGGGGCTTTTCACTCGCCTCGTGTGGCGTGCACCCAGCCAACGCCCTGCTCTGGGGCGCCCACTGCAC